GGCAGTAGGTCCCCCCCCCATTCTCATTATGGCCCCCACCCGCCGCCCAGGGGTAGGGGTGGGGGTGGGGGAGTACTGCCCCCCCCCTCATTCTCACTGTTTAGGGGTGGGGGCCAATAGTTGTTTTTTGTTTTTTTTTTACAGTGAGCAGCCACAGGCTGCTCACTGTTTAGTGGACATGCCCCTACTCGCGGTATAGCGAGTAGGGGCATAGGGGAGATTTTAATCTCCCTTGTGCTATTATGGGGGTCATATTGACCCCCATAGAGTGAGAGGGGGACCTGGGGGGGCTTAGGAAGTGGTGGGGAGCACTGCTCCCTGCCGCTTCTAACTTTACATATTACAAGGAGGGAGCTGCGTGCCGGTAGCTCCCTCCTTGTAATAAACTGCACGAACAAACATACACTGATACACAGATACACTGATACATAGTGTTTGTTTGTTCGGCTGATCTTTCTATTCATTCATTCATCTGTCTGATGAATGAATGAATAGATGAAATTCCCGTTCGCATGTCCAGGTGTTTCACTGGGCATGTGCGGGAATCTCACAGTCTGTCTAGTGTGGGCAGATGACGTGTCCCACAGGGACTTCACCTACCCACACAAAGATGGCGGCGCCCTGAATATAGATCGGGGCAGAAAATAAGGATTAAAAAATAGGTAATGTGGGGGGCTTAGGGGCATTTAGGGGGTGACTAGTGGGTCAATTGGATGTAGTGGAGGCGGGAGAGGGGTTAAAAAAAAAACAGAATTCGGCATGACAGTGCCGCTTTAAATATGAAACGTGATAGGCAAATTACTACAATTTAAAGGAGCACTGTTAATGAGAAACATTTTATTGCAGCTAAGCAAATGTATTTCATTTACACAAGCTGGCAAACAGAACTATATCTTTTATAAACTGGGGGACAGAGCAGGCAATTGGAAGATGAGTTTCAATGCAGGTATATGCAAAGTCATGTATTTTGGAATACAAGCAACTTATAGAATAAATGGGGTTAAGTTCGAAATAACATCAAAAAGGGGGCCTTTCTGGAGGATCTATTGATTATAATGTCACTTAGCAGTACTTCTTTCTTGAAAGAATAAAAATAGTTCATTGCATAATAACAGACAGGCATAGTGTGTACACAGAGATGTTAAAGGATTACTCCAGCCACCATAAGTACTTCAGGTATTTCAAGTGGTCGTGGTGGTAGGAGTCTGTATGTGCAGCATTTCTTTTGTGCCAAGGGCTAGTTACATTACTGACACACGTGACTTATGCATCCCGGAACTCTGTTCCAGGCTAACATCAACACTATACTTTCAAAGCGAATGACAAGCTTCAAAATGATATTAAAATACAGAGGTTTGTAGACAAGTTAAAAAAGGCAAAGGGAACTCTAAAGTGGGGCAGAATAGGGGTGTTGATTCAAGTGATCACTACATCTCCCATAATGCTTTTACAAGTATGAGGCAAGATGTAGACCACAATATATGAAGTGCTGAGGGTTTCCAACCCCTAAGTTATAGGAACACTATTCTGTTAAGAATACAAAAACATTGTCCTAATGCTAAAGTGTTCTACTAAGTATTTAGAGGGCTATACTTCAGCCAGGATCATTTTTGGAAGACATTGACTACATTCACTGCGCCATCATACCCGATACCTTTCTCTTCCACCCCAAATCCTTCTACATCCCAGTTTATATATCTGGAAGCCTGTGATGCTAACATTTGTATGTGTCTGCATGTGTAATGT